AGTCTAGAAGATAATCCATGTCCTTGTATTTCCCAGCTTCTAGAGCTGCATTTTTTGTATCCCCTGGCTCCTGGCCTTGTCCTCCATGGTCAAAACTAGGGCCTTCAGGGGTCATATTTTCTTCTACTTCTGTAGTTAAATCTCCTTTGCTTTCCTCTAATGAGGATGCTTATGACTGCATTCAGGGACCACCCTGGTAATCTAGGGTAATCTCTCACCGCAAACTCCTTAATTTAATCACAGCTGCTAACTTTCCTTTGCTATATTAGGTAACGTTCATAGGTTCCAGGGATCTTTGGGGGCCATTATTCAGCCTGAGGAAATTATATAAAATACTAGAGGCCCGGTGCATGGATTCGTGCACTGGTGGGGTCCCTCGGCCTGGCCTGTGGGGATCCGGCCAAAACCAGCTCTCCGACATCCCCTGAGGGGTCCTGGATTGTGAGAGGGCAGTTCTCAGATGACACACCCCGGAATCGGGCCCCCTCCTCTCTGGTTCCAGGTGCATTACCCAAGAACCGCAGCTGCCAAGTCATTACAGCTTGGCAGCTCCTGCGTTGAGCTTCTTTCCCCCAGTGGTCAGTGCATGTCATAGCTACTGGTCGGCCGGTCAAATAGTCAGCTGTTCAACAGTCGCTTAGGCATATCTATAGAGAGGGGACAGAAGCATTTTGATCATGGATAAATTCAGAGTGCCAAAAATGACACTGAAGTCAAAATTCAGCTATTTCACTTTCCAAATGCTAAAGCTGAGGTCAAAGCCAAATTGCAGATTTTGGAACACAATTTATTAGGATGCCTCCACACAGTTTTATAAGCTGCTTTTTTAAGAAAAATTAACTCACAATATATCACAAAACTTACCAGGTCCAGGTCCTTCCTTAAGTATTTGTTCACTTGTTTTTTTTTTCTAAATCAATCATTTGGTATTTTTCTATTTTGTAAATAACATATTAAAGATAATTTACACATATTTTATTGTTTTTTTTTAATTAATTTCTAGAAGTAGAATACCTGGATTAAGGATTTGAACATTTTTTTATATTTTGATATAATTTGCCAAGTGCTATTAAGCTCTGACCAACACTGTAGGATAAGGGCCATTTCTCTACAATTAAATATGTACTGTGGTTGGGATGAAAAAGTGCCCCTTTACTCATAAAAATGCTAACTCATTGCGGCTTATTTTGCACTTACTATTTATGTTTACTGGGTTGGGGAGTACTCTCTGTGAAACTTCCTTTACCTTCACCCATGACTTAACTCATTTACCAGATTAACTTGTATCTCTGAATTTTCTTTGTAAAAATATCCTGACTGTATGACTTGCTTGTCAAGTCCAAAATCAGGGAAAAGGAATGTGTGGCATTCAAAGTTAGGATATAGATCATTTAGGGTGAGGAAGAAGGGGATAGTGATGGGGAGGATACACGAAATGGGTTTGGGGTGCTGATATTTTTCTATTCTTTGACCAGAGTGATGGTTATTTTCTTTTGTTCATTTTATAACTATTTATTGAGATGTAAATAGTATTCCAAATATGGTATATCTGACTTTTAAAAGTTTTTTTAAAATAAAAAAATAGTAAACAGCAAACAACAACCAAAAATTAGTTCTACTAATAGTTATGTCTATGGTTCAGCTTAGGGCAGTTTCCTCTGCTTACCAACAGTCAAATATCTTTGCTCCAAACCTTGGTCATTACATAAACCTAGTACTTCAATGACATGGTTTAATTAAATGTTATTTAAATTGTAGATTCATTTGGAGAAACGGAGAGTTATTTCTATAAAAACAACTGAGTACTATGCAAACACTCAATCTCATCAAGTTGCTATGTAATGTGTGCATACAATTGTTAAAAAATATGGGAAATATCATAAAGATTTCAAAGTAGTCTACATTCAGACTACCTCAAAGATTCCTTTAGTGTCTTCAATTTCTCTCTCCACTTTGAGGAAAGAAACACACTGTGAACACTATTTATGCAAGGTTATCTCCACCTCCTGCAGCAGACCCAGTTCCAAGAAATGGCTTTGGTCCATAAAGTTTAGCAAAATGTATTTAAACTAAAATTACTTACCTTATAGAGGCTTTACTCTTTCTTTTAGTGACTAATTAGTGTCCTGATTGTACCAAATAAGAGGGGCATTTGCCATATCTAAATAATGAATACAAAGAGAAAACAATGATAGGATATGTGAAAAGCAGAAGAATCAGAGGTGAGGAAATATTGCTAATTGGATAAGAATGGCAGATGAACAGAAATTAGCCCACAGTCACATGTTCACATAGTCAGACGCTGCCTTTCTCCTTCGTTTGTAACACCAGCTGCCGACCAAGCATATAATCTCTCACCACACACAAGGCCCACATTTTCCAAATTATTAAAACCCAAATAGGCATATGAACAATGTGGTGTCTGATAAAAACTCCAGTGATTAGAAGCAAAGAGTTAACCAACCGGCAGACTCACACAGCCAGGCTTAGGGCAACATTGAAGGCTCAGTGATATCCAGGAGGGGGGGTATCACTGAGCAAAAGAAGTTTAGCTCCAACAAATTGACCCTGAATTTTGAAAATGGAACATGTGAAACGAAGCTATTTTTATTTCACCATCCAATTATGTTCGTTAACAAATCTGAGTGGTTTTTATTGCAGTTACTCATATGGGTGGGAGCAGGTTAGGCTCCATTATCCTTTCAGCGACTCGGATATGAGTGGAGTTCTGGAGAGATTCATTGTAAAATGAGACAGTAGTTTCAGCAAGGCTTGGAGCCATGGTCTATGCACATCTTTGTATAATGACAGTTTTCACAAAGAGCTGGAAGAAATCATATTCAAGAAAAGAATAAACTATGCTTCTACTTCCTAAGAAGGAAAGGAAGAGAAAACATCCTTTGTCGGTTACCCCCAAGTAGAGTTCCAGCTCATCCTCCCCTGCATGATATTTTGTAATCAAAATACACAACCCTAGGTCTGGTCTTGAGGTGTGCCTCGTTGGCCCCTGTGCTCTCACCAAAGCCATTTTCCTTCTGTAACAGAGGGAAGCGGTCTGATAAAGACTTGTATCCATGCAACCATTCCCAGGAATATAATATTCTTTCAAGACGAGTTCTAGGGGCAGGGCAAAGCTTACCTCAAAATTAGAGATCTCAGGCCCTGTGGTTTCTGGGCAGGAAAGATCTGCCCTTCAAGTAAGATTAAGGTTAAAGAGTTCCTGATACTCTAATCACAATGCATTCCCCACAGAAAGATACTTGGTAAATATTTGTTGAAATTAAATGGGCAGGTGTTGTAACCTGTTCCCAAAGCTGCACCTTTTACCTGCCTTCAGTAGTGTCTGGTATAAAAGGACCTGTTCTTATGTAATTCTTCAATAAAATATGATCAAGGATGAGCATATGAGTAGTGAGATGACATGCCAAGTGTGTTATAAAGCTTTGAGCTTTCACTGCCTGGACATCAAATAAACCAGTGTTTGAATCCACAAACAACTGTTAGACTGAGAGCAGAAGAAAGCAGCAAAACACAGCTGTCTGGGCATGGCCGGAGCACCAATCCGCAAGTTATGTAACAGCTGTTGTGTAATTGTGCATTTAACTCAAAACACATTTTTAAAAGAGAAAACAATTCAATTTTCCAAAAAGGAAGGAAGAAAGAAATTGAGAGCAAGAGAGGGAGAAAGAGAGAGAAAAAATGTTGAAATGACACAGAAGGTTCTATCTGGTCTTCAAGCATGAGGCACAGGAGACAAGGACCCTGGGGACAGTTGCCTTCGGATCTAGGGGGCTGGACCATGCAGCAGGTCCGGCCTGCCTCCCTTTTTTGTAAATAAAATCGTATTGAAAAACATCTACAGCCATTAATGTATCTATTGCCTAGAGTCTCTTTCATGCAGACTCTAAGTAAGTTACAACAGAAACTATCTCGCCTAGAAAGCTAAATATATTATCTGTCTCTTCCCAGAAAAAGTTTGCTGGCTTCTGTCTTAAATGAATAAAGGGCCAAGTTTAAGTGCCTGTGAGGGTGACTTTTCCCTTTGAGAACCAAAACAGCCAATTCTCTGGGAAATGAAATTCTTGTCTTGTACTTACTACGTCTGTGATCATAAGCAAACAAGTTACCCTCTGTCTGTAAAATGGAAAACCAAGTAAGGATGGAAAGAGCAAGCAAGGCTGCAGCACCTGGTTGGGAGTAACTAGTCAATGAGCTTATGTTTCCCTACCAAAATCCCATATTTGGGGGAGCTGGCAATTTTCACTGGAGAAAACAAAACAAAACAAAAAAACACCCCTGAATTCTTAGTAATCAGAATTGAGAGCATCCAAAGTTTTCTGTCTCTTCCTACTGTAAACAATTAAGTATTGTACTTAAAACGGGGGTAGTACAGTTAAAAAATGTGTCCCTTTTTTTAATGTTTCCAGTTTGAACTATTCATTTTAAGAACCTGAGTTACTTGAAAGTCCTGTTTATGTTTACTCCTTGTACAATTGCCTGGATCAATGATTGGTAAATACAGTCAACTTCCAGAATCAGAGGTTACTTTCATTTTAAGTGAGTTTTTATAGACCCTATGGCTGCTGTGGTGACCTTGTATGACAGCACACTCTGAGTTCCCTAAAAATCCTGCGGATTTTTCTGTTCCCATATGTAAAATGAAGATAATTTAGAGCTTCTGAAATGACAGTAGGTCTACTTCCCCAGCAGTCAAAATACACTTGATTGGTATAATTTTTTTAAGCTGACTTGGGATAGGGTCTACATAGAGGGCCTCTCTTCCCCAATCAGCACCCTTTCTCCCTGACAACATTGACCTGAAAACACCTGGCCAGGGTCCTCTCCTCACCAGCTTGTGCTGAGAGCAAGTGCCGGTTTAGACTCTCAATCCTCAAATCCTCTGATTCCAAGTCTGTCAGAGAACGGAAAGTTTCACAGGAGCATAAAAAGCACGAGAAGCCAAAAAAATAATAACTGGCCTTCGTGGCCAGAACAGCTGCGCTGAGAACCCTTCCCACAGGTTTGGGCTTTGTAAATTAATTCATCTGCAAATAGTGCCCGTCTCCAGATGCGGCTGCAGGGCTGGAGCGCTGGTTTCTTAAGGATTTAACTTTAAAAAGTCAAGGGCTTCCTGCACTAGGTGTTACAAATAAGTAGTGTCATTTTCTTTTTGCTCCGGGTTTGTTCATCCAATCATATCCCAGTATGCAAATAAACCTTAGCCTGTGCAGATAAAAAGGAACAAATAAAGCCAAGTGCTCTATCAGAACTAAATCGCTGAGCCTGTCACCTGTATTTCAGGAGCTGAACCAGAAATGTCGTCCTCAGGCATGCCAGACTTACCTGTCCCACTCACCAATTTGAAGTTTCAATATACGAAGGTCAGTACAATTTATGTTTGCTGCTTTGCCTCGGGTTTCTAGAAACCACATTTGTTTAAAGCATAAAAGGTCAATTTAAGTAACTTGTGTAAAGAGGCCCTTGGCAAATACAAAAATGAGAGGCTTGCAAAATGCAGTTCTGAGTTCAGTGTCTTGATCAAATATTGAATTCCAAATCACATCGGGCCACTTTTCATATATGTATTTCTTAAAAGTATTTTTAAGGAAAGGCATTCTCTTCTGCATGAAAGGTTCTTGTGTTGGGATACAGTGGACTTTACTAAGCAGTTCTGTTAACTTCAGACTAGCCCAGCATGTCTAAGAGAACATATAGTTGCTAGAGAAACTGAAAGGAGACAAACAGTGGGCAATGATTTATAAAAACAAAACAAAAAGGAGAAACGGCCTGCTGAAGTAACATGATCTGTCTATATGGTTAATGAGTGTCAAAATCGAAGGACCTTAAATCTGAGTACTGAATAAATTTAATAAAAGCTCCTCTTGCAAAAACTTCAAATGGTCTTGCATTATTCAGCATATTTGGGGAAAGAAGGCATTCTTATTTATTTCTTCAGCAAAGTTTGTTGCCATCGGAGCAGATGTGTACTTGTTAGCTGATAGATACAGAGAGAAACAAGGGCAGGAGTCTGATCCAAACTTAAAAATCCACAGCTAGGGAGAATAAGGAAATGGATGTTGTTTGAGTCAGTCAAGAAACTTAGCCTGTTTCACAGTTAGATGCCAGCTCTCCTGTCAGAGCCTAGAACTCCCAAACAAATAAAAGAAATAGAAAAATAATACCAGTCTAAGCAAAATTATTTAAAGTTAGCTTTATGTTGTGATGGAGAAAGTAAGGGAAGAAAGGAAGTATTTCAACTCAAGCAGAGCCATTTTTGCTTTCTGAATCAGTCAATGAAAAAAAAACAAAACACCCAAGAGCATTATAATTTAATGATAAAGTAAAAGCCTCGCTATTATTTACATGTTTTATTTCCTTACTTGTAACCATGGATGATTTTGTGAATCCTAAGGTCATTTTCATTTGTACATGTACAAAAAATGAGGAAGTGGCTCAGCTGACTGGCTCTTTTCCTCAGGAACATGTCTGCAGAGATCAGATTGTGCCTTTAACACGATTGACCAGCAGCTATAAAGTGTATTAATGCATTATTTCCACAAGGTTTTATTAAAAGGAGAAACATTTTTTTCATTTAATTTTATTCCAAATGGGAGCATGAAAATGTGGTGAGTCTATACCCTCCGACAATTTACACTTGGCAAAAGTATGCCCAAAAGATGACAAGACTTGAGACTTGAGCCTTCCCACATTCCTTACTCCAACTTGGTTCATTCACAAGAAATTTCAATCCAAGGCACACTGAAAAAAAGTGGTTTTCATAAAGATCAGAATCACTGGCAATGTTTTAATGACCCCAATGCTAATGTTACAAAGAGTCTATTTTTATTATGCTGATTAGGGAGATATTTGGTAGTCTGAATGTCTCATTTTTAAAAATTGAGCTTTGCAGAAGTTTGTAGCTTCCTTGTACATCTCAAGGAAGCTTTAATCTAAAATACTCTTTCTACTAAATGAAGCTTTGGTTAGTAGTTATTAATTAAGCATGTAAGAAACAGTATTAGACGAACGAGATGGTCATTAAAATCTAACATACAAACACAGATCTAGTAATTCTTTAACACAGAGCAGTTTTTAAGATGGAAATCTGTTCTCTTCAAAGTCATTGCACAAGAACACCCCTGTAGGGAACATGACTGACCTAAGTGTTCAAAAGAAGGCAAGATTCAACGAGCAGGATTTGCTCTTGCATCTAAAAACTTTTCTGGGTAAAAATACCCAATGCAAGTCAGTGAATTTTGATTGCTCACACATCTTCTCAATAAATCTGTTCTGCTCAGATAGCATTTTATTGTCTGATTTATTGGTTACAGCATTTTCACACTTGGGAGGACACCAGTTATGTATGTAATTAAATCTAAATGGGTGAGCTTTTTCAAATGCCTTTGCATTTTCTTTTTACTGTGCCCCACCGAAGAATTGTATTGGATTTGCACTTGCAAGAGGAGTTGAAAAAATGAAGGTTATTAACTAAGTTTCCTGGTTACAAACCAAGTAAACAAGGATTTTATAGTGTCTGAGAAAGTACCTTCTGTGGCCAGCCCCTAACCTCTGAATTATTTTTCTCTTCCTATGTTAATGCCCTTCTTTATTATCACTAGAAGTATATTGGTCTCTGGGGCAAGGTGGAGGGAATAGGCAAGCAGGGTTCGATAACAAAAAATTATTACAAATATGGTAGAGGTAGAACGACATACTCTCAAGCTTGAGGCTGCTTTTCCCTAAACAAAAGAAGTCATTGTTGCATATCTTTTTTATGACTTATTCTCTAGTACAGTCTGATTAGCTTTTTGATGGGGTGGATAAAACAGAGATCAGAGTTAAGAATAACTTTCTAAAATGATACAAAGGTTTTTTAGAATTTAAAACCTCAATAACATCATTATAAATCCACATAAACTCGGATTCCATCTCTATCCTCATTTATCCCCGTTCCAACTCTAAATGAATCATACGTCTGCCAACTCACCCGTTTTATTGAGCCTTTAAATGAAGACCTTCTTTGAAAGTTATGTGATCACTGGGCAAACTATATTACCTCTCTCTGCCTCGGTTTCTTTGTGTGTAAAATGGGAATAATAAAGGTACCACTTTCCTAAGGTGGATGAAAGCATTAAATGAGTTTAATGCACATACACCACTTGAAATAGTACCTGGCACATGGAAAGTGACTGATTAATATTAGCTACCCTTGTCCTATTTATTTTTTGACTTTTTTTCAGTTCTCTAGAATTTCTTTTTACTCAGCCTTTCCTAGAGCTGTTTCTCATTTTCTTCTAGTCTTTTTGTCACCCTTTCTTGCACAGTCATGCCCCACCTCCCTTAATTCTCACAGCCACTTTCCAAGGCAGTCATTATTTTTTGTTTGCTTTTTATTTGGAAGCAGTTGAACAAATAGCTGTATGGCTGCAAGGATCACATTGGAACAAAGTTCCAAGGATTTATCCAGGATTTTAGGAATCAAAACTAAACGTTGAACGCTAATAGCCTGAGCCCTCACACCAGGTGACTTCTCTAAGATCAGCGTCACTGCTTTGGGGCATGGAGCTGTTGGAATCCTGTCCTGTTCACTTGTTCATCCCCAACTACTGAAGGGGACATGACCATGAGTCTCTCCAGTTGCTGCTCAGCTGTTCCCAGGAGAAAGAAATAAATGTTTTATTTCCCCAAATATGCTAAATAATTGTTCTCAGTCCACCAGGGGGAAGAAATAAATGTTTTCTTTCCCAAAATGTGCTAAATAATAAGTCCATTTGAAGTTTTTGAAACTGGAGCTTTCATCCAAAAGATATGTTTTTAACAGAGAAAAGTTATGAATCATTGAATATTATGAAGCTAGGCTCCATTATCTCCTTATAAATTCTTACAACAAAGAAATTCAGGCACATACATGTTTAAATACCCCTTCCTCTTCACTCATTTCTCCCATTTTCCCTTTCCTTTATTTAACGTCATTGAATGACTGCTTTGTGTGAAGTCTTATGGTACAGGAAGACTAATTCTTGCCTCATGGAGCTTATATTCTTGGAGGGTGTGTGGTGTGGTATGTGGAAGAAAATAAACAAGAGAATAATTTAATCACAAATTATAAATGTTAAAAAGAAGAAAATAAGAAGCTAAGAGAATGTGAGAGGAAGAGCTTCTTTTCTATGAGGTTTTAGAGAAGGTCTGTTAAAGGCAAGAACAGTTAAGGTGAACCTGAGAGATGCAGAGGATAAGGTGGCTCTGGTGGGTGGGGGAAACAAAGATCTAGAGCTAACAGCACAGGCAAAGATCCCATGAAGAAGAGCTTGGTCTGTTCAAAGAACTATCAAAAGGCGAATGTGGTGGAGTAAAGTGAGGAAAGGAGAGAATGGATGAGAGGGGGACAGAGGCTGTGGCCAGATTGCCTGGTGGATTTTATTTAAGGGAAACCACTGGGGAGTGCTTAAAACAGGGCAGGGCTTATGTTTAAGACAAAGCTGATTGTGCGGTGGCCCTGTCCTCATTTGGGAGCTCCTTTTAACTCGCATCTGACTGAAGCAATATTTTTTGTTTGCTTTTTATTTGGAAGCAGTTGAACAAATAGCTGTATGGCTGCAAGGTGTAGTGGCTTAACAAGATAAACTCAGCTTCGATTTCCAGCTCTTCCACTTATTTACGATATGACGTTGGCCAGGCTTCTAATCTCTCTGAGTTTCGGTTGGCCTGTCTGTAAATTGGGAATAATAATGACTGCCTTGGAAAGTGGCTGTGAGAATTAAGGAAGGTAATTTGTAGAAAGCGCCCAGCACTTATTAGCTACTTAGTCTAGGCTCTTTTTAACCCTCTTCTTTCCAAGACGATTCCTAGAATTCTAAAGTTATTCCATTCCCAATATAAGTGGAATGAATACTTGAATTTCTAGGCACAGTTCAAAACGGCTTTCATCTGTTGATGTCATGTGAGGTTCATAATTGAGCACTGGCACGGAGCTAGAGAAGATGTTACTAGTCTCCCATTTTAAAGCTTAGCTACCAGAGCTCAGAGAGCGTAAGTGATTTGCTAAAGGTCATACAGCTCTTAAGTGGCAAAGACAGAATAAGCTGAATTCTGAATCTTCTCATTTAAGATTCAATACGTTCCCACATGATTTTATTTCCCCTGAACACTAAAAGCAGTATTGTATCTCACTGGATTGTCTCTAACAAGTGCCTTCTTTACTCTGATTGTGAGACCTGAAATTTGGATGATAAGGGAGAGGGATGACGTGAGTGGTACACCCCCAAACGGGTGGACCAACAGAGAGAAGTTACTCTAGAGTAGTACTTCTTGTATTTGAATGTGCCAGTGAATCACTTAGGGATCTTGTTGAAATGCAGATTGATTCTGTAGGCCTGAGCTA